ATCCGGTCTTATCCGCGCCACTGCAGGCTTCCCTACTGAACCGCTTAGCAGTGCGGCTCTTCTGATTAGCATATGAACCACCTCCTGAAATAGGTACGAGAAATACACGCAGTATTCCAATCCCGTCTAGTTTCTACCATCACCATACTGAGCTGGCCTGAATGCAGCGACTGTCCGGCCATCATCTGACCTCGGATGTAGCATATTCGATTCGCTTCAATTCGTCACAGAGTGACTTTGTAATGCAGAGAAAGTGAACGAGAGAAAGGCTGGAATTCAGAGAACTGCATCTTATACATAAATCGAAGCAATATCGGTCAGCCAGAATTAGTCGACCTTTTTCTGTGTATTCAGCATCAATTCACAATAACTAGATAATTAAAAGTGAAATAACCAGTCGACTGCATCATAGGTGTATCAAAGAAGGGACCCGATGATATTTCGATCTTGCTCTTTCGCTTCACGGTAGCCTTTCAAGTGAGGGCATCTGAACCCAAATCAGTAGATAACCGGTTTTCACCGGTCGGCACCAGCTTTGAGTGCAATCGGTCAAGCAGTTACCGAATTAGGGAACCGGGTCTACATCTTCACAGACACACGTGCAAGGTCACCCCAAATCTGATAGCTGAAAATGCATTAGTCTGACCAGAGCAAGGACGAAACTGCCGAACGACACAAATGACATTATTTATTATATGTATCCAGCCATTGCGACGCTAAATGATGTTAGAACGTCCGACAAACTGTCTAGGAGTGGTCAACTTTGTTGTAACGTATACTATCGTTGGGCGCTTGTGTGATAACCATCCCGCTTCCTTGTCAGCGGGAGCCGGCAGTCCACGTTTACAGTTTACGGCGTTAGACGGTTACATGATATCGACTTTGACCCCTGTCATAAAACTAATGGCCAATACAGCTTTACAATGTCTGAAACAGCTGCGATAACATAGGTCGTTGCTGCTCATGCATTTGTCTATCTGAAATACCTGAACTCGAAAAGTCATTACGCTGCTGGATATCAAAATCCAAAAAGTAATTATCATTCAGGGGACCGGGAGTTCCACCCTTTCCCCATCAGACCGACGGTACCGTCTCTTCCAGGAGCGCCACCGCGTACGTTTTGATATACGAAATCCGTCGATAAGGTGCTAGGATAAAAACTGCTCGGTAGCCTTTCATAGACGCATGCGTCATGGCGTTGTTAATTCAGAAAATGCACAGAGAGCTGATGTTTTATCCCTTCAAACGGAAGTGATTTTTTTTACGACAGCTATACGGTAGCTATCAGGCTGTCTCGGCGTGCTGTCGGTACTTTTCCACGGTGGCTGCGGGCATCCCGCGGCACCTGTTAGTGGCACAGGCAGGGAGGTCGCTGAATGGGCACCGCGCGGGGCGGGTTTGTTTGGAGCTCTTCTTCAGGTGTTCAGAGTGGCGGCAAGCGGAGTGACGCTGCAGTTTTTGGGATGTTCCTATGAGATGGCACAGAATCGCGTTACGTTTTACGGGGATGACAATGCCAACGAAGTTTTGAGTTTGGTTTAGGCAAACATTGGTGAAGTTAACTTTGCCGCTGACTTGACAACGCATTGCTGACGTCTGCAGGCTGATATGTAGCCTATGATTTGATCTGATTTACAGACATGTTTGCTGCTTGTTTGCACCAGTAATAGGCAACAAAAACTGTTTGGACCGGCTTTCAGTCGAGTAACTATCCTGTCCGTCGACCCTTCGGAATTGTTCGATGATCTCGGCATTTAACCCTCGCACCGACGGGGGGGGGCGGATATCCGCCCCCCTGAGGTTTTTCGCGAATAGCGGGAAAACCGCGGCGCGTAGCGCCGCGAAATTTGGTATGACTATAACCTCATCAATTTTACACATGGTGTGCAAGTTTGAACCTCCTACCTTTTAACCCTAGAACGCCTAGGGGGGGGGGGTTGTATCAACCCCCCTGAGGTTTTTTCGAAGTGCACGCTAAACGGCTTGTCGTAGCGGGCTGAAATTTTCAATACCCTCTGGGGCAACCTTTGCGCATCTATTGCCGAAAAAAATTGATCGGGTCATGTCAGGTCACGGAGTTATGACGTCATAAGAGGTACAGCCTCCGGCCGACAGTTACCAAACGTGTGCGCCGAATCCCTAGGTTATCTGCCGGTGATACCCACATTGTTTGATGGATCATGATGAAACTTCCCATGCATGTTGGGGCAAGCATTGGCTATCGTATGGTGCAAGAAAATTGACCGGGTCAGGTCAGGTCACGGAGTTATGACGTCATAAGAGGTACAGCCTCCGGCCGGATTTTCACGAAGTGTGTACCGAGTCCCGAGGTTTTCTGCTGATGCTATCCACATTGCAGTGGATATCCACATATCTTTTCTGAGTCGTTACCTACAGTATTTATAGCGGAGCAGTGGTCAACAGCCGACGAATCGGGACAAACACCGGAGGGTGATGTGACACCATATCACTCATCAGCAATAGGCCTCTTACTTTTATAGGGTAAATACACCAAAAACACCATATATGGTGCAGAATTGAGTGGGGAATACGTTGTTGAAGGTTTGAAGTTAATATCTCTCACCGTTTTGCCGCAATCGTTGCGCAAAGTTGAAAAAGTTTGATTTTTTGGGAAAATTTGACCTTTGACCGGTCATAAGTAGGTCCAATGGTGACCTAGGACCAAAAAATATACCACCAATCCACAGTGGCCCTTTTTCAGAATTAGCACGCATTAATTCCCACATTACCTGAAAGTGGTGCTAGACATCACCACGTGATCAAGGACGTGTTCCCTGCCAATGCAAAGAGAAGAAAAGAAACGAACTGCCCAAGGAGATTCGGCCCAACAGCGACAGGCCGCTCGGCCCAAGATTTGGCGCACGTTCGTACGGCTCGCCCGCCGGCCCAGGCCGCTCCGAACGCAAGTGTGGCGAGCCCGCCAGCCGACCACGCTGCACTGACCGCCAGGACGCCCCAGGGCGTCACGTGACCGCATCTACACCTACAGCTGTTGCCAGCCACCGTTAGTCGGCCCCGGCCGGGCAGCAACTAAGGTCAGCGCGACGCGAACAATACAAACACATAGGCGCTTTTGACGTTAGCCGACCACGGGACTTGTGCGGCTTGGACATCAAACGCGACAAGAAATCGGACAGTTTTTCTTGAGCACAGCGTTATGCCTACATGACATTTCAATAAGCACATCTTATGGCAAAAGTCAAGCCACATTTAGGCGCACACCAGGTGACACCAGCTTCGAGCCAGGTCAATGAGCTTAGTCGTATCGAACAGGAGCCACAGCCGCTCGTGGACTGAACTGGCTCACGTTATCCGCCGTAGAAGCAAAATGGCGCAAAATGGCGCGATGCCCTTTGGTGGACATGGTCAGAAGAGATCGGCGATTCGAACGATGTATAATATGACATGTTCCAGAGTGTTCTACTTAACATAAAGCTTCATATGTATGCCGCCATCTCCAGTTGATAATTGTCCTGTTATTGTGTCCACAATATTCGGCAAAAGTGGTCTATTTAAGTTTATATAATGAAAATTGTGGTTTCTAGGGCTTCTACGTAAACTCAGCTTCACAGTCATGCCACTAATTTTTAATATTTTCTCACCGAAAGCCTTACAAATTGATGTTCATCTCACCCTACTTTTTAGGGTCCGCCGGTGGTGTCCGCGCGCCTCTCGACAAACTTCGATTTTGCGGTCAGTTTTACCAAAGATAATTATTTTTTAGGAGGTAAAAATGGCACCATCGGATAGTTTGGAATGTTTTGCACACGATTAGACTGCTTTTTACTCAAAAGAAGAGAAAAAATATTTTGAATTTATGCGTGCTAATTCTGAAAAAGGGCCACTGTGCAATCGCGAGATCTCGTTGAGAGCAATCCGTTGGTTTTTTCCGCTAAGCTCTACGACCTTCCGTTTCGAAACGCCAGGGGGGTCGTAACAACCCCCCCCCCTGGTCTTTCGTGTTATGAGAAATGGCCTGGTCGTGCGAGGGTTAAGGTCAGGTCACCAGGTCACTTTGAATGACCCAACCTCAAGTCACTTTTTTGCAACTTTGTCACCGTGCCAGAGCTACAGTAGATGTCGGAGGCCTTTGAAAGTCGCAGGATATTATTAAGTCATTAGTAGCTACAATTTGTATATCTCGGAATTTTGATATCGGTGACCTAAGGTCAGGTCAATTTCGCGACCTCCCCATTATAAGTCAACGGGGGAAAAATCAACTCCCTGTTTTTACCACTAAAACGGGTCGGAATGGCCCCATATACCATACATGACTTCATATACGATCAACCTTCACTACCTTGAGGTCTGTTTTGCTGTTGGGCAGCTGTGAGGTCATGTGACGTCATCAAAGGTCACCAAAGGTTTTTGGCCAATAACTCCGTACAGGAACAAGATACAGACGCGCGGATGGTCTTATTGTGTTCAGCTCGTCAAGACGCATCGAATGATATACATGATGACCTCGAGGTCACGTGACCTGAGGTCAACCTTTGACCTTGACCTTTCGAGGTCAACATATATACCATTCGATGCGGATTGACGAGAGGATCACGATGATGCCCTTAGTTTGTTCCTATCTTGACTAATTCGAAAGTTATTCGAGAAAAACTCTCTCCATATCTAGCGCCGCCATTTTGACTTTTTCGACCCCTGTGACGTCATCTTCGACCTGACCTGAAAATGACCTTAGTAAAAATTGTAGATCTTGGCCGTGCGTATCCGATGCCGTTTACCGCTTGTCGCTATCTTGCTTCGTTCTCGAGATCTCAGGGGGGGGCGGTCATCCGCCCCCCCCCGTCGGTGCGAAGTTGGCGCAGACCCCCGTCGGTGCGCGGGTTAATCAAAGTGGAGGGCTGTCGTACTGTTGTTCAACTTCCGCGTTGAATCCATTGAAGCACCGCCAGTATTTGTTGTGCATAAGTTCGTCTGAAAGCACTCAAAGGGTGGCCAAACTGACCATTCTTATCCATTTCCAGGTCACTCACCAATCGTTACTGGCTGCATGTCACCGGAAGACATTACCTACCGTCAGCGAAGAACGAAACCGGCTGTCATCAGCTGATAACTGACGTCACTCGGCGTCAGCTGACGTGACTTCTCACCTGTCATATCCCCATACTCACATCATGTTCAACTGGGCCGGCCTGGCCGGTATTATCGTGTTTTATATTGCCATTCTGCTGGTCGGACTATGGGCGGCATGGAAGAGAAAGAAGGAGCTGCAAAATGCAGGTGAGTCATACATTCGTCTGTTTGTTTGCTTGCTTCGCCACGTTCTATTCTGACAATGCATGAATGAATGAATGAATGAATGAATGAATGAATGAATGAATGAATGAATGAATGAATGAATGAATGAATGAATGAATGAATGAATGAATGAATGAATGAATGAATGAATGAATGAATGAATGAATGAATGAATTGATGAATGAATGAATAAATGAATGGAATGAATGATTAAAAACAAAAATAAATGCGTAAGCGATCAAAGGTGCTCGCTATTACTCTGGCCAGTAACCACGCTTGTGTGTGTTTGTGGTTACCTATACCATGAGCATGGTTTGCGGTGTTTCTCACCCACCTGACCAAGTTTTCATTTTATGCTATGTTTGTTGCAAATTGCATCCCTTTGGTTATGTTTGTGTGATGTTTATAAAAACTTTGGCTATGTCTGTTTGGTGTTTGTCAGCTCACTCACCATTTTACGCGGTGTTTGTTTGTTGTTTGTCCCAGAAGAGGACACCGAAAAGGTGATGCTCGCCGGGAGGAACTTGGGCGTGTTTGTGTGACGTTTGTTTGATGTCAATTTGTGGTTGATCTTGTCTTTTTTACTATCACCAAGGAACCTTGGCATGCTAGTGTGGTGTTTTTTATGTTTGTTTGGCGTTTGTCTCAGAGGAGGACACGGAAGAAATGATGCTGGCCGGGAGGAACCTGGGCGTGTTTGTTGGTGTTTGTGACCGTGTCTGTTTGTTGTTTGTTGTCTCAGAGGAGGACACGGAGGAGGTGATGCTGGCCGGGAGGAACCTGGGCGTGTTTGTGCGGTGTTTGTGTGGTGTTTGTGTGGTGTTTGTGCGGTGTTTTGTGTGATGTATGTTTGTTGTTTGTTGTCAGAGGAGGACATGGAGGAGGTGATGCTGGCCGGGAGGAATCTGGGCGTGTTTGTGTGATGTATGTTTGTTGTTTGTTGTCAGAGGAGGACACGGAGGAGGTGATGCTGGCCGGGAGGAACCTGGGCGTGTTTGTGCGGTGTTTGTGTGGTGTTTGTGTGGTGTTTCTGCGGTGTTTGTGTGATGTCTGTTTGTTGTTTGTTGTCAGAGGAGGACACGGAGGAGTTGATGCTGGCCGGGAGGAACCTGGGCGTGTTTGTCGGCATCCTGACGATGACTGCCACCTGGGTCGGAGGTGGATACATCAACGGCTCGGCGGAGGAGACGTACAAGGCCGGTCTGGTGTGGACACAGGCGCCGTTCGGGTACTCCATCAGCCTGGCGCTCGGTCAGTGACATGAGCGGGCGCGAAGCTAAACGTATACACCGTAACGTAACGGAAGGAATAAACAAAATATCTAGCATTTTTCAGTTAATGATAAAAATAATATTTCAGATTATTGTATTTCTACTAAGAAATATGCCAACTACTCGTATACTGCAACTATCAGTAACATGACCGCTTCTTATCGAGCATGGGTCAAGAATACTTCACAATGTAGGTAATGCGTCACGATTCATTCGAGCCGCCTTTTAGGGCGTTTTTTTTTTTGCAATGACTGACATCCTGTATTGCAGGCGGTATATTTTTCGCGCACAAGATGCGCGAGGAGGGCTACACGACCATGTTGGACCCGCTGCAGGCGCGACTGGGCCGGGTCATGGGCGGCCTGCTGTTTATCCCGGCGCTGCTCGGCGAGCTGTTCTGGTCGGCGGCCATCCTCGGGGCGCTCGGTCAGTCGGGGTCAGCACCCCGGGTCAGTCGGGGTCAGCACCCCGGGTCACTTGGTTCATCTGGTGCGGGTCAGTCGGGGTCAGCACTCCGGGTCAGTCGGGGTCACCTGCGCGGGTCAGTCGGGGTCGTCACCCCGGGTCAGTCGGGGTCAGCACCTCGGGTCAGTCAGGTCACCTGGTGCGGGTCAGTCGGGGTCACCTGGTCTGGGTCAGTCGGGGTCAGCACTCCGGGTCAGTCGGGGTCAGCACTCCGGGTCAGTCGGGGTCAGCACTCCGGGTCAGTATGGGTCACCTGCGCGGGTCAGTCCGGTCACCTGGTCCCGGTCAGTCGGGGTCAGCACTCCGGGTCAGTCGGGTCACCTGGTCTGGGTCAGTCGGGGTCAGCACTCCGGGTCATTTGGTTCGCTTGGTGCGGGTCAGTCGGGTCACTTGTCCAGGGTCACATGATAGCACGCTGGTCACCGGTAGCGGTAGCACGGGTTCTGGGCCGGGTGATACTTGATAATACATACTGGTCGTTTACCTATTGCAATAAAACCAGAAATAAGACCTCGTACTTATAAACGTACGCCGTGTAGCATTTACTGTAAGCCCAAATGAGCCATGCCGATTTTCTCTAAGTCATTCTCACATTATCCGTTTTCAGGGACCACCATCAACGTGATTCTGCACCTGGACGAGTACGTGGACTACGGCAACACGCTCTCGATCGCGCTCTCCGCTGCCATCGCCGTGTTCTACACCCTGTTCGGAGGCCTGCTGTCGGTGGCCTACACTGACGTCATTCAGCTCATCTGCATCTTCATCGGACTGGTGAGCGTCGACAGCGGATAGCGATGTTGGAAGTTGCAGTTAAATTTTGATCGAAAATATTTATTACCTACTTTATTTCTGTTGCGCTATCATGGATGATTTCTTTAAAAAAAAAGATATGAAAGATATTTACTTTTGGCGAATGTGTTCATGGTTTAGTTTGCTCGTTATCGTGTATTTAACTACACTTTTTGCTGAACTTATCAGGAGATTGCGCACAGGACTGCGACCATAACACGCGCTGTCATCTATCGCTCGCCCTCACCGATCCTCTCCCCCGTCCCGCGCCGCCGCTATTTCAGTGGTTCTCCATTCCGTTCGCGATGACTAACGAGGCGTTCACGACGCTGGATATATCGGAGAACGACTGGATCGGCTCAGTGGAGCCGCACTACGCCGGCGTCTGGTTCGACTACGCCATGCTACTCATCTGTGGCGGCATACCGTGGCAGGTAACTGACAGCTGACAGGTGACAGTGACAGCTGACAGTGACAGGCGACAGATGACAGTGACAGGTATCTACTATCTACCGACAGCTACTCATCTGCCGCGGAATACTGTGTCAGGCAACTGACAGCTGACAGTGACAGGCAACTGGTGACAGTGGCAGCTGACAGGGTACCGACAGCTACTCATCTGCCGCGGAATACTGTGTCAGCTAGCGCCCAGTCCCGAGTACGGCTGGTGACAGTGATTTGTGACAGTGATTTGTGACTGTGGAGGTAACCCGTTTACATGAGATCAGACAAATTTAGGTACGTAGAAACTCAGCTAAACTCTGAGATCATGTAAATGCCGGCCTAGCTATGATACTTTTATAGAAAACTAGACCTAAATAACAAAATTGGTGCTTTAGGATGACGAGGAAAACTTCCGTTTGTATCCGTTTTTCTCGAATAAACAGGTTACCATTTGTGTAAATTTACGTAAGTTAAATAGCTTTCACAGAGACCAATGTAAACGGAGTCTTATGTGGACAATATGATTATGTACGATAGCCACGGGCGCGGCGGGTGACAGTGACAGTGATCGAGGGATGAGCTGACAGTCCTGACAGCCGGCGTGATATCAGCTGACGATCATCGTTATCACCGGTATTACGGCACTGTCAGAGGTGTTTGAGGAATTGAAATGAAATGGACAGAGGCTCGTGACGACTACGCTGCTCTCCCGATAATTAGGCTGATATACTAATTAGCAATGTCCGACAATCACACCACAAATTTGGCTGACTTATTCACGGTGTGCGGTTTTCAACATTTGGCTCGAGCCTCCTTGCGCTCCTCTGTTGCTGAATTGTCTTTTTACAGAAATTTAGTCAGATTGGATGGATGGGTGGCTTTGAGTCCGCGAGCCACGCTAAGCGGGGCTTGGCGAATGACACCATGAACCCATTACCCGACCGTGCCGTGCCCGCGCCCCGCTCAACGGTGATAATTTTAGTCTGATCCGGCAACCGTATGACATGGTGAATGTCCTGGCGACTAATTGATCCAGAGACCGTCTGACCTGGAGACTGACCTATCAACTGTCTAGCCCAGCGATCGTCTGACCCGGCGCTGACTACCTGACCCTGCTCCAACTGACCCAGCGACTGTCTGACCTGGAGCGACTATCTGACCCCGCGGCTGTCTGACCGGGCGACTGTCTGACTCCGCCACTGTCTGACCGGGCGACTGTGGCCGACAGGTGTACTTCCAGCGGGTGCTCTCATCCAAGAGTCCGCGTCGCTCGCAGCTGCTCAGCTACGCGGCCGCCGGCGGCTGTATCTTCCTGGCCATTCCAGCAGTGCTGATCGGAGCCATCGCCAAGGGCACCAGTGAGTCCTAGCGGGGGCCGTCGGCCTTCCTTCGCGTCTGGTCACTTTACCGAGCTCTGGCAGCTGGCAGAAGCCAGGAGGTGTACTGCTTATTCAAGCCCTGAAGGCTGAACTCTGCACCATTTCACACAATCAAACTGACTTTAGTGCAAAACGAACCAGTCAGGCTAGACCATTAGTATCCAAGAAGTCACATACCATCATGTGTCTTCTATCTACTGGCTATTGTATATCGATTAAACGATACGGGCGCCTAATTAGTTGGCCTCTAACTCTCATTTGACACTGCTTCTGACCCTTTTTCCCAGAGTGGGAGATGACCGAGTACGGAAGGACTCCGACCGGTGACGACACGCGCTTCGTGCTACCGCTGGTGATGCAGTATCTCACGCCCGAGGTGAGTGAGATTGGCACGATTCGGCTCACTGTCCCAAAGAACCGGCTAACATTTCGTCAAACTTCCGATTAAAATAACTAATGAATAGGCAGCGTTTGTAGTACAGCGTCCTTGCGGCCGTCGGACGATAACTTCTGTCGCGGCCGCTAGATGGCAAGAGTGGTGTGCGCCTGATGATATGCTGTGCCGCATCGCACAAACTATCGTCCCTTCTCTACGCTAGATGGCAGGCGTGGTTTGCGCCTGATAGCATGCTGTGCCGCACTGCACAAGCTATCGTCCCTTCTCCACGCTAGATGGCAGGAGTGGTTTGCGCCTGATGACATGCTGTGCCGCACTACACGAACTGTCGTCCCTTCTCTACGCTAGATGGCAGGCGTGGTTTGCGCCTGATAGCATGCTGTGCCGCACTGCACAAACTGTCGTCCCTTCTCTACGCTAGATGGCGGGAGTGGTTTGCGCCTGATGACATGCTGTGCCGCAGTGCATGAACTGTCGTCCCTTTCCTACGCTAGATGGCAGGAGTGGTTTGCGCCTGATGGCATGCTGTGCCGCAGTGCATGAACTGTCGTCCCTTTCCTACGCTAGATGGCAGGAGTGGTTTGCGCCTGATAACATGCTGTGCCGCAGTGCACAAATTGTCCACTGCTTAGGTACGCTGGATGGCAGTGATGGCGCCACCGAATGGTTCCATGCATGCAAAGGTTCCAAACCATGAACGCATCTTGGGTCGATATAAATTGCAGCAGATCACCAGAGCGAGGTCGCCCCCTACTTGCTAATATACCTACGTGAAAACTCCCCCCCGTACCACGTCTTGAACCGTGCTATTCCCGTATTTGGCTGTTATGAGCCGCGGTCTCTGCCCGAAGTGGATGTCGTTCATTGGACCGGGCACGGTGTCCCTGTTCTTAGCTGTGTTTTCTGCTCGCAGTGGGTGGCGTTTATCGGTCTGGGCTGGTCTCTGTTCTGTTCTGACCTGTGTTTTCTGCTCGCAGTGGGTGGCGTTCATCGGTCTTGGCGCCGTGTCTGCCGCCGTGATGTCGTCAGCCGACTCGTCAGTCCTCTCTTCGTCTACCATGTTCTCCAGAAATATCTACCAGCAAATATTCCGGCCCCGGGTAAGAACGTCTACCAGCATATTATAAGAGCAAAGGGTGCACAAACACTCGCTGAACGGCTATTCTTCCAGCGTTATAATGTCGTCTGTTGTCTAGTCTCAAATGTCACAAAATGCAATTCTATTGAGCAAGCACAGAGACTAATGTCCATTCGGTAAACGGTATCATTTTTTTCAATTTCAAACATTCAAGCATCTAATTATTTGTTTGATTGTCACTTATGAGCCTCTTGCTGATCATCGTCCATCCCTAGGATTCTTTGTTTGTTATGCACAGAAACGATCCATTGATATTTCCCCTGATTTATGAGGCATCGTTTGTTTTTGGCTACATTTAAAGTCCCCCGTCAGGTGCTCTTTGTCAACTATCAATGGTGATTTTACGTGTCAATAGTGCTTTGTCACTTCTCTTGTGTCGCTTGGCCGATACCACGTGTCGTTTGTCGAGTTTGAGATGTTCTTTATCACATATGTCACGGTGCTTTGTCAATTTTCACGGTCCCTGCACCAGATATCACGTGTCCGGTTTTTACCGCAGGCCTCTGAGCGCGAGATTATCATAGTGATGAAGATCGCGATCCTGGTGAACGCCACGGTAGCGTGCGTCATCGCCATCAACGTGCCTTCCATCTACGGCCTCTTGTGAGTGAGGATGGGGTAGATGAGCTGAGTTGGGAGTCATGGGGCTGCAGGGCGGCTGTGGGCAGCGGGAGAACAGCTAGGAAGGTATGCTTAGCGTCACCGAAACGTCACTTAACCCTCGCCGGCCGAGGGGGGGCGGGTGCCGCCCCCTCCCATAGGTTTTTTTCGCGATAGCTCCGAACACGCTGGCGATAGAGAGCTGAAACTTGGCATACCTGATCTTTGATCCAAGCCGGATCTTTTGACACCAACCGCATTTTTGGGTCAGGTCAGGTCACTGAACTATGACGTCATAAGTGAACCTCTGCACGGTCTTCAGATGTCGCAACTTCGCAACGCCCTCACTGCCAGATGAGATGTCACAGGGAAATGAAACTTGCAGGATCTAGTATCCATTATGAGTCCCACAACTTGTATATCTCGGATTTTTCCTAAAGGTCATATGAGGTCAGGTCATTTTCGTGACCTCACCATTATAAGTCAATGGGGAAAAATGAAAACTGCTAGTCTGGCGCCGGGAACGATCTCCAACTATCTCAAGCACACAGAATCGTGATTTGATGCACTCCTTGCAAGGTTAGATGCGTCACTTTTGCAATGTTGACCTTGCGTGACGTCATTTATGACGTCATCAAGATCATATTAGTTTTTTCGTCAATAACTCTTGATCAAATTGAGCTAGCGAGTCGGGAAAGCCACCAATGGACTCAGGAAGGCCTGCCGAATCGAATGATATGCGACATGACCTCTTTCGACCAACTTAGTGACCTTGGGGTGCTGACCTGACCTTGACCTGAGGTCAACACCCCAAGTTGACCTGACCCGGACAAAAAGTATATCATTCGACGCGCCTGGGCAAGGCAAACACGATGCTGCCAAAATCGGCGCTCTGCGGCCGTTTTTTGCGAAGTTATTCACCAAAAACTAAACCGTACCTTGGGGCACTTGACCTGACCTCAGAGGTCACCGGTTGACCTAGGACCTTAAAATCGGGTACCAATCTCTGCGTCTCGTAACGGCGCACACGCTCGTTTTTTCCGCAACGCGCTAGCTCTACCAGGGGCGAAACGGCGAGGGGGGAGTCGTACCCGCCCCCCCCCCCCTCGGCCGGCGCGTATGTAGAAAACCAATAGGTCCGGCGAGGGTTAATGTCACTCAAACACAGGATTTCTTATTACTAATCCCCCGCCCTTCGCGTTTTGACCAAAGGCTGCTGCTCTGCAGTTTCTGTCTATCGGCAGTTTCCTATGCTCAGACCTGGGGTTCGTTACAGCTGTTGTGTTTTCTGCTCACTGAACACGCTCTGTTCTGTCGGCAGTTTCCTGTGCTCGGACCTGGTGTTCGTGATCCTGTTCCCGCAGCTGCTGTGTTTTCTGCTCACTGAACACGCTCTGTTCTGTCGGCAGCTTCCTGTGCTCGGACCTGGTGTTCGTCATCCTGTTCCCGCAGCTGCTGTGTTTTCTGCTCACTGAACACGCTCTGTTCTGTCGGCAGTTTCCTGTGTTCGGACCTGGTGTTCGTCATCCTGTTCCCGCAGCTGCTGTGTTTTCTGCTCACTGAACACGCTCTGTTCTGTCGGCAGTTTCCTGTGCTCGGACCTGGTGTTCGTGATCCTGTTCCCGCAGCTGCTGTGTTTTCTGCTCACTGAACACGCTCTGTTCTGTCGGCAGTTTCCTGTGCTCGGACCTGGTGTTCGTGATCCTGTTCCCGCAGCTGCTGTGTTTTCTGCTCACTGAACACGCTCTGTTCTGTCGGCAGTTTCCTGTGCTCGGACCTGGTGTTCGTGATCCTGTTCCCGCAGCTGCTGTGTTTTCTGCTCACTGAACACGCTCTGTTCTGTCGGCAGTTTCCTGTGCTCGGACCTGGTGTTCGTGATCCTGTTCCCGCAGCTGCTGTGTTTTCTGCTCACTGAACACGCTCTGTTCTATCTGTCGGCAGTTTCCTGTGCTCGGACCTGGTGTTCGTCATCCTGTTCCCGCAGCTGCTGTGTTTTCTGCTCACTGAACACGCTCTGTTCTGTCGACAGTTTCCTGTGCTCGGACCTGGTGTTCGTGTGTTTTCTGCTCACTGAACACGCTCTGTTCTGTCGGCAGTTTCCTGTGTTCGGACCTGGTGTTCGTGTGTTTTCTGCTCACTGAACACGCTCTGTTCTGTCGGCAGTTTCCTCTGCTCGGACCTGGTGTTCGTCATCCTGTTCCCGCAGCTGCTGTGTTTTCTGCTCACTGAACACGCTCTGTTCTGTCGACAGTTTCCTGTGCTCGGACCTGGTGTTCGTGTGTTTTCTGCTCACTGAACACGCTCTGTTCTGTCGACAGTTTCCTGTGCTCGGACCTGGTGTTCGTGTGTTTTCTGCTCACTGAACACGCTCTGTTCTGTCGGCAGTTTCCTCTGCTCGGACCTGGTGTTCGTCATCCTGTTCCCGCAGCTGCTGTGTTTTCTGCTCACTGAACACGCTCTGTTCTGTCGACAGCTTCCTGTGCTCGGACCTGGTGTTCGTGTGTTTTCTGCTCACTGAACACGCTCTGTTCTGTCGGCAGTTTCCTGTGTTCGGACCTGGTGTTCGTCATCCTGTTCCCGCAGCTGCTCACGGTCGTACACGTCCCGCGGCTGGCCAACACGTACGGCTCCATGCTGGCGGCGCTGGTCGGCCTCGTTCTGCGGCTAGCAGGTCAGTCAGGGTGGGTTGATAAACTTATCAGGTCAGTCTGGTCTCTGGGTGAGTTGACCCAAGTAACTAATCAGGTCAGTCGTGGGTCGTCTTAGCCAGCTGGTCGGTTCGGGGCCTCGTCATTTGTCAGCTCAGTCAGAAAAGTGGTCTAAGCCTGCAACTTGCAACCTGTCAAGTCAAGCAAAAATGCCAGCCAGCCAGAAAATGCGAAAATGCAACAGTTAATTCGAAAATAGTCAGTTTATCCGACCAGTCGGATCCCAACTAGCCTGTGACCTTACTGTAAATTTTAAATGTTTTCTTGATTCCGTATTTTCATTGCTGGCCCATGTTTTCCTACACCACGCTCCTAAGCGGCTCCAATCCACACAGTGCACCGAGCAGACTGCAGATTACACCCCAACCTGTCGCGGTCGAATCCCCAACTACCGATTGTCCCTCTCCCCGGCAGGCGGTGAGAGTCTGCCCGGCCTGCCTTCAGTGCCTGCCGGTCACCTAACTACCGCTTGTGCCTCTCCCGGCCTAACTATATCGTTTGCTCCGCTGCCCGGCAGGCGGTGAGAGTCTGCTGGGCCTGCCGGCCACCGTGCGCTACTGGTGGTACAGCGACACAGACGGACAACTGTTCCCGTTCCGCACATTCGCCATGGTTTGCTCCCTCTGCACGCTGGTCGTCACCTCCTTCTGCGTCGAGAAACTCTTCAGCTCAGGTGCGGCTGGCTTCATATAGACCTCAGGCTTCATGTAGGGCGACCGGGTACAGCGGGCGGCTCCTGATCGCTTTCTGCTTAGCTCGTGCACAAATTGAGCCAGTTTTTTTCAACGAGGAGGCTGTTGGGGGAGGGGAAGCGCACATCTGTCCTGTGGAGACCTCGACAATCCAGTAACATAACGGTAGATGAGAGTAAACAAAATTTGTATATGTATGTCTCTACGTTTTGGCAGCATGGTGTTTATTTTTTATTTATTTGTCCAAAAACATACATTGAATCCCTGGTCCGTGAAGTTTCTGTTTGGCTACACCTAATCAACGACCATAGGGTATTTCATCGTATATTCACCATTCAGAAGCTTAGCATGTATCTCTGCGAACACTCAGCTGCAGTTGGCGCTTCACTCATTTGAAGACCATGCCCTCAGCACTAATCGGTCCCCGCTCTCCGGCTCCGCGCAGGTACTTTGCCGTCGCGCCTGGACTTTGCGCGGAGTTTCGACCGCGAGGACAGCGAGGCGACCGGCCTCAACTACCGGCAGCAGCAGCAGGACCTGCAGAAGAACGGCATCGACAACTACGGCATGACCGAGACCACCGGGCTGTGACGTCACACAGAGAGACCAGTGTGACGTCACACAGAGACCAGGGCGCCCTGTGACCTCACACTCCGCTGGGTGACGCGCTCGCTTACTCGAGGCGGTTGCCGTTTTACCAACGATTGCCAGTTTTAGCTCTCAGACGTGATTTAGCAGTTTTATGAAGCTTGGCAAGACCGAAGTAGGTGCTAAATTCTGAGACACTTGACGGAGACTGTGCTAATGTACTGGAAAACATCCTAGATCCTGTGCAGTTTTGAGAGCTGTTTGTCCAGAGCCGGAGTACAACAGCCGATTCAGACTAGTTCCGGCCAGACGGGATGTCTGTGGGTGGGTTGGCGCTCCCGGAACTTACAGTGAACCTCGTCAAACTCCCCGACACAAAGGGCTTCCACAGAAATCGCGTTATATTGCGACGCTCATTGAATGCTAGCTACTTGAGAGTGCGCAGCAGCGCTCTTGTAGTAAATGACCGTAATTTTCCAAACCGTCCTCAGTTGTCGGTCGCGTACGGCGGAATGCGGCGACAGCATGTTCTTGAATCCGTTTAATTTCTGAGCTCTCTAACGGCCCTTGGAGATGCAAGAAGTTTGTCGAGTGGCACGGCAGGTCCCATTGACTACGGTCGCGCTGCCAACAGTGCCGGGCTGGTTGTGTGTTCCCTGGCCGGCGTTGTGAGCTCCCTGGTCCGGCGTTGTGTGCTCCCTCTATTAAGCGCGGCGGGTCAATCTGAGCCAGGTCAGGTGGGCGTAGTCTAGATCAGTGGCATCAGCTGGCTGTATAAGATTACTGGTCATGGCTAGCTAACAGAGGCTCCAGAGGAACGGTTTTACACGGCTGACGCCACGCGGTTTCAACGTAAATGCTCAGCGGAGTGCAATGGACATTTGATTCGTTCCGCTCCACAGCTGTGACAAAAGCAGACGGAACAACGTTCCAGGCAGTATTCCTTTTTACTGTATGCCTGGCCTATTCAAATACATTAGCCAGAGGGGTGTGGTAATAACTGGTGTAAGCAAATTGACCACGGTCAAAAATGCATTACCAGAATGCACTTAAGCCAACATTTTGGGATGGTCTCGTTCCTAAGTCGGCTAAGAGCTTCGGTCCAGAAAATAAATTTATCGTTGGCATACAGTAAAATACATACCAAACTCGGCCGGTGATAAATTTTCAAGACCTCAGTCCTTACTGATTTTTGAACTCGGCCTTCGGCCTCGTTCAAAAATCCAGTAAGGACCTCGGTCTTGAAAATTTATTTACACCGGCCTCGTTCAGTATTATATAATCCGACTGCATTCAACGGGGTGCTAAGACAAGTAACCCTTTTACTGACTATTTTAGGCAAGAATGTTCGTGTGGGAGGTTAGTGGATTTCCATGAATCATTCCATATTTTAGATAATGCGTCAAAACAGGATTAGGGCGCAGAGCCAGAAGGTCTATATTTATATTTTACGTATACGATACATTTATACACACACAAAAAGCGCCTGACTCCAGTTGAATGTGTCACATTGTGTATCAGTAACTTGACTGTGTACTGTGTAGTGTGCACTGGGTTGTGTGCGGCGGGTGCCCAAGCCACACAGTTGCAGAGGAGTGCCTCTTGCCGCCATTTATTTGTAACAAGCATGTTGGAAGCGAGATCGAAGTGGATGTATTATATGGCAGCTGTGGAAAGTTATGCCGTCCAAGTTATGTTGAATACATGTGCAAGGTGTCATGTGTCATTCACTGTGTGTGTCTCTTCACTCTTGGGCCCTTGGCATATATAGGAAACCGTCAAAATGGTCTATTTTCGGATAGTTTGTAGGTATCTTTTGTGAACGATGAGCAACATATCGTTATATGGCACCGCTCTGTTACCAATAAGTACTCAGGACAGTACCAATAAGTACGATGAAAACAAAGTACGAGTAGGGGTGAGTGGGGAAAGATGCCCAGGGTTTTGCTATGTCATATATTATTCGAAAATAACGATCGGAAAGCAAAAACTTGGAGTTTCAACGGAAGCCGACATCATTTTTCTCCAAAAATATCACACTTTCGTGCCTGAAATATGATAACTTTTTTTTGCTATTAAGCATTTTCTCGAAGAAGTGAAAGAGGGCATCTTACCCCACAGGGTGGGAAAGACGCCCCCTGGCGTTGGGGAAGATGCCCCCTGCACTATAAGTGACATAAATGGGCACGTGAATCGCCTGAACGAATCAGTAGTCCCTTTGAGCCTGCAGTAGACACCGACAGTGGCGGATCCAAGGGGGGGGGGGTCACATGGGTCATGACCCCCTCCTTGGGGCTCGGGGGCACCACAGACCCGCCAGGGGCACCACAGGCCTAGCAGGGGCACCACGGACCTGTCAGGGGCACCACAGACCTGTCAGGAGCACCATCGGCCTAGCAAAAGCACCACAGGTCTGCCAGGGCCACCACAGACCTGCCAGGGGCACCAGAGGCCTGCCAGGGGCAACGCCGGCCTCTCGGGGGCACCTTGGGCCTGTGGGGGCACTTCAGGCTTGTCAGGGGCACCACAGTCCTGTTAGGGCCCAGGGGCAGCAGTGGCTTAGCAGGGGCACCACAGGCCCGCCAGGGGCACCACAGGCCTGTCAGGGGCACCAAAGGCCTAGCAAGGGCACCACGGGCCTGTCGGGGGCACCAAAGGCCTGGCAGGGACACGTCAGGCATGTCAGGACCCAGGGACACCACAGTCTTTCCAGGGGCACCAGAGGCCTTGCAGGGGCACCAGAGGCCTTGCAGGGGCACCAGAGGCCTGTCAGGGGCACCACAGGCCTCGCAGGGGCACCTTGAGTCTGTCAGGGGCACCACGGGCCTGTCGGAGGCACTTCAGGCTTGTCAGGGGCACCACAGTCCTGTCAGAGCCCAGGGGCACCAGCGGCCTAGCAGAGGCACCACAGGCCCGCCAGGGGCACCGCAGGCCTGCCAGGGGCACCACCGATCTCGCAGGGGCACCTTGGGCCTGTCAGGGGCACCACGGGCCTGTGGGGGCACTTCATGCTTGTCAGGGGCACCACAGTCCTGTCAGGGCTCAGGGGCAGCAGTGGCCTAGCAGGGGCACCACAGGCCCGCCAGGGGCACCACAGGCCTGTCAGGGGCACCACAGGCCTAGCAAGGGCACCACGAGCCTGTCAGGGGCACCTCAGGCTTATCAGGGCCCAGGGGCACCACAGTCCTTCCAGAGGCACCACAAGCCTGTCAGGGGCACCAAAGACCTAACAGGGGCACCACAGGCCTGTCAGGGGCACCACCGGCCTCGCAGGGGCACCTTTGGCCCGTCAGGGGCACCATGTGCCTGTCGGGGACATTTCAGGCTTATCAGTGGCACCACAGTCCTGTCAGAGCCCAGGGGCACCGGCGGCCTAGCACGGGTACCGGCCTGCCAGGGGCACCACCGGCCTCGCAGGGGCACCATGGGCCTGTCAGATGCACCACTGGCCTGTCGTTGGCACTTCAGGCTTGTCAGGGGGCACCACAGTCCTTCCAGGGGCACCACAAACCTGTCAGGGGCACCTGCAGCCTGGCAGGGGCACCACAGGCCCGCCAGGGGCAACACACACAAAATAAAATATATAAAAACAAAAACAAAAACAAAACGAAAATAGGGCACCACCAAAATGAAGTGGCCGAAATCCGATGAGTTTTTAATTTTGGGTATAGGCAGGGGCACCACTTCGATTCATGACCCTCCCCTTGGAGTTTTCCTGGATCCGCCCCTGGACATCGAACGTCATCGTAAGGGCCCTCAAAAGTAGTCGTAAGGGGCTTCAGAGGTCATCGTTAGGGCCATCATAGTCCAGCGCGGCCAAACAAGCCTCTGTGGTGGCGTTCGAAGACCACTGTGGGGCCCTTATAGGTCTTCATGATGCTTGAGGTCCCTCGCGCCCATCGTGGGGACCTCAGATGCCAGCGCGGCCCGTGAAGCCAACGTGGGAGCCCTCAAAGGATGTCGTGAGGGACCCTGGAGCCAATAATGGGGCCCACAGAGGCCGTCGTGAGGGCTCTCAGAGTCAGATGCCGCCCAAAAAGTCGCTGTGTGGGCCGAGAGACCGGCATGGGGAGCACCCGACCGTACTGGACTCTCAATAGTCCCAGATCGGCTTTTGTCTCTCATCACAAGTATGTAATAAATGATTTGACGGGCTGCTTGAAGGACAGCCTACGGATTTAGGGGGGGGGGGCGTCTTTCCCATCAGGACAGGGGGTATCTTACCCCAAGGTACCGAACTCCGAAGTAACATTACATCAGTACAATTTGTTAGCCATAAAACTACACCCTGAAACAAACTGTTTGGGACACAGTACACGCATGTTAATGCATCACAACTATAGCAAGGGACGCAAACATTATCTACCTTCTTTGATATTTACAATGCTTTGACACCAAAATATTTTTTGAAAGCGGCAAATAAAAAACATGCAATCAACAGCCAGCCGTTGCCCAACTGAGCTTCGCAAATTTTTATGCAGTTAACAAGGCAAGCTTCCGCTTTACGCTAAGAACATTAACCCGCGCACCGACGGGGGTCTGCGCCAACTTCGCACCGACGGGGGGGGGGGGCGGATGACCGCCCCCCTTGAGATCTCGAGAACGAAGCAAGATAGCGACAAGCGGTAAACGGCATCGGATACGCACGGTCAAGATCTACAATTTTTACTAAGGTCATTTTCAGGTCAGGTCAAAGATGACGTCACAGGGGTCGAAAAAGTCAAAATGGCGGCGCTAGATATTGAGAGAGTTTTTCTCGAATAACTTTCGAATTAGTCAAGATAGAGGAACAAACTAAGGGCATCATCGTGATTCTCTCGTCAATCCGCATCGAATACTATATATGTTGACCTCGAAAGGTCAAGGTCAAAGGTTGACCTCAGGTCACGTGACCTCGAGGTCATCATGTATATCATTCGATGCGTCTTGACGAGCTGAACACAATGAGACCATCCATGCGGCTGTATCTTGTTCCTGTACGGAGTTATTGGCCAAAAACCTTTGGTGACCTTTGATGACGTCACATGACCTCACAGCTGCCCAACAGCAAAACAGACCTCAAGGTAGTGAAGGTTATTCGTATATAAATTCATGTATGGTATATGGGGCCATTCCGACCCGTTTTAGTGGTAAAAATACGGAGTTGATTTTTCCCCCATTGACTTATAATGGGGAGGTCGCGAAATTGACCTGACCTTAGGTCACCGATATCAAAATTCCGAGATATACAAATTGTAGCTACTAATGACCTTATAACATCCTGCGACTTTCAAAGGCCTCCAACATCTACTGTAGCTCTGGCACGGTGACAAATTTGCAAAAAAGTGACTTGAGGTTGGGTCATTCAAAGTGACCTGGTGACCTGACCTTAAAAGGTAGGAGGTTCAAACTTGCACACCATGTGTAAAATTGATGAGGGAATAGTCATACCGAATTTCGCGGCGCGTAGCGCCGCGGTTTTCCCGCTATTCGCGAAAAACCTCAGGGGGGGCGGATATCCGCCCCCCCCCCGTCGGTGCGCGGGTTAATTTCCAGGTGCGATTCTTTGTTTCGTCGCTAGAGGTGGTGGGGCGTCTTTCCCACCCTGGGCATCTTACCCCACTCTCCCCTACCTAAAAAGTCGCCGGCAATATGTAAACTACCCACCCAATGCATATTGCATATTCCAGTGAGCATGTTCTTGTTCGCTCTGCATAGTTCGCTCCGTCCATTTTATCACCTTTCTGGGTAAATGCTCATACCGTTATCAGCTATTACCACATACATATGATCATACTCATGGTCCCCTTATGATTTAGTACGCAGATACCTATTCCAGCTTTTGTTTGCATCAATGCCTTGTATGACGTATGTGTTCGGGCGTTGGCAAAATTATACAAATGGGAAGTATTCGAATGCGACATTGTCAGATCCGAATGCGAATTATATATAATTATACACGTATGCATTTGCGACACATCCAGTGCATAAATCAGGACCATTTGGCCTGAAATCGCCAAATGAGGCACTGTAGTTTAGATGAACTGCCACGAAGCTACCCATTTTATGCTGACCCTGCCCTCAAGATGATTAAATGGGTCGAACTTATTCCAACTTCCATGGCCATATACTTAATTAGCGCTGACGCCGCCCCTCACGAAATGCCGTCGGACGGGCGAGCGGCGCGGCGGCGCGGCCCGGTGGAGAAGTCGTCGTGGCCTCACCGGTGTGGGGTTTTGTGTGGGGTCAGAGACGGCGTGCGTGGCCTCTCATCCCGTCTCCGTCCCGTCTCCGTCCCGTCTCCGTCCCGTCTCCGTCCCGTCTCCATCCTACTTCCTTTCCATCCCATCCCGTCTCCGTCCCGTCTCCGTCCCGTCTCTGTCTGACCTCGCCTCGCCTCCGTCCCGTCTCCATCCCACCCCCTTTCCATCCCGTCCCGTCTCCGTCCCATCTTCGTCCCGTCACCGTCCCGTCTCCGTCCCGTATCTATTCCGTCTCCGTCCCGTCTCCGCCCCATCTCCGTCCCGTCTCCGTCCCGTCTCCGCCCCGTCTCCGTCCCGTCTCCGTCCCGTCTCCGTCCCGCCACCGACCCGTCTACGTCCCGTCTCCGTCCCGTCTCCGTCCCGTCTCCGTCCCGTCTCCGTCCCACCTCCTTTCCATCCCATTTCGTCTACGTCCCGTCTCCGTCCCTTCTCCGTCCCGTCACCGTCCCGTCGTCTCCGTCCCGTCGCCGTCCCGTCTCCGTCCCATCTCCTTTCCATCCCATTTCGTCTCCGTCCCGTCTCCTTTACATCCCATTTCGTCTCCGTCCCGTCTCCTTTCCATCCCATTTCGTCTCCGTCCCGTCTCCTTTCCATCCCATTTCGTCGCCGTCCCGTCTCCGTCCCACCCCTTTCCATCCCATTTCGTCTCCGTCCCGTCTCCGTCCCGTCTCCGTCCCGTCTCCGTCCCGTCTCCGTCCCGTCTCCGTCCCGTCTCCGTCCCGTCTCCGTCCCGTCTCCGTCCCGTCTCCGTCCCACCTCCTTTCCATCCCATTTCGTCTACGTCCCGTCTCCATCCCGCCCCTGATGCTGCGCTGACTCGGCTATCAGCCGCGTCTCCTATGGTCAGTGCCGCCGGAACTGGCGATATATGACCGGGACTTTACCGAGACCGGCGTGACAGCCTAATGACATGTCGTAATGGGTGACGGCGCCGGCCCGCGGCGGTCACTGATAGATGCGTGTCAATGGGCGCCGGCGGCTGTGATACCGTGGAAACCGCGGACAGGGTGAGGGAGAGGGGGTGAGGGAGAGACGTGCATGCACGTTGATGCAGTCCGTCTACAGCCATAGGTATTATAGGAACCAAACCGTGCCGCGTGCGCAGGTGTGTGGATGCGCCTGCCATTGTTTTTATTTAATTACGAACGCCCCACTGATTTAGAAAATGTCTACCCTGGTCCCTGTTACTCTTCATGAGTATCCTATTTCGTCATCCTATTTTGTTTCGTCATTGAGTGTTTCGTGAGATTTGGTCTGACAGTGAACGTAGGTCTCGTCAGATCAGCCTGTCCGCTGGTTCTGTGAAACCGTCAGTTCTGTGGTGACTGTGTCAGCCTCCGGGGGGGGGGGAGGGGGGGACGCAGATCGGTGATCCGCCCCGTCCCCCCTACCTCTTTCCCCTCTGTCGTAAAGACTCCGACAACGAGAACATAATTCGGACCAGGTTTCCTACACCGGACGGGGCAGTGTGGCTTGGTCGAGCCCGCCCACTCGCTGCCAGAGCGAAAAACGGCGGAAGGGAGAGAAAGAGAGAGAGAGAGAGGGGAGAGAGAGGAGGGAGAGAGAGAGAGAGAGAGAGAGAGAGAGAGAGAGAGAGAGAGAGAGAGAGGGAGAGAGAGGGGGAGGGAGCTGGGGAAATGATGAGAGAAATATTGATCAGCATTTATAAAGCAGAGACAGTGACGCGCAGGGATGAAGGAAACTATCAGACTAACAGACGGATATACCTGAAAAGATTATTTGCAGAACGCAGAGCGCAATCTGCGCATTGTAATCCGCAACGTAGGCCGTGGATCTTTTCAGTCGTTATGGTAAAGGCGATACAAATGAATGCCCAACAAGAATAGGGGCTAATAGCAGGACAGGATCTGTCATCTCTGGTATATCAGCAACGTAGCACTGTACACTGTACAGCCAAAGAAAAGCCGCTCAAACTAGACTGCAAGAGGGCTGGTAATATGCCATAAGTAATGGATACCCCTCGTCAATAGCTTCGCTCGGTATATTTCCATACATTATTCACATACTGCAGATAAGCATGAAATGAAGTATAGATCAAACCATGGATAAGCGATTCTAGTTACTTACCAAAGCATGTAAAGCACATCACATTGGTATCTAAGGGCGCATGGCCTCACGGTACTGTCAGCAGTTAAAGCTCCAGTTGCGAGAGCTCAGCTGTAACATCGATTCGACATCCTTTGATATAAAGCACTGTTAGCCAAAATATACACTTTTCACATCAGTAAACGTACTATACCCCTGACATCAAACATACACGTAAAGCACATGCACATCGAGCTTTACTGGCCGCGCACATCCATATAAACCACCCTGAATATTGCACCCCCCCCCCCCATTTAAAATACAGCAGTCTGACTAGCTATTTGTCAGAAAATATTATCTCCCATCTATGAAACATCTGCGTTTGCGGACTCCACTGCCAAATACAAATTATTTTGGTTGCACTACATCACCTTCCTTGCGCCCTTTATTCTGTTCACCATAGTCAACCCCACACGTCTAGCTGCGCAGATTTCACAGTCGCGTAGAATTACGCGCATATGCATTATGCAGTGGCATCGGAAGCCGAAGAGAGGTACGCAGGTGCTATCATATGGAGCTCTGCAGTGTGGCCCCCGCCCATGTAGAGTATGGCGCGCACAGGGGGTGTCGGGACGTGTAATCTACCTAAAGGGTGAGCGATTGCAGTGTGCACTGTGATAGCTGCGCGCTATATGTGTTACTGAAAACACCCCGCACACGGCACATGGAGCAAATGTTGACGTGCCTCTGTTGGATACCGGTACGGGATATTTACGGATTCGTATACGACTGTTTTGATCTGTCTTTATGGAAACCACTGACCACTGATAAAAACTGCAACTTCCATGAGAGGATCGCACTGTTGATTATTTTCAAATGGTTATTGTTAGGTTATCCAGATTCCAGCCCGTGGTATGGTTGATATATGCCCGTAGGTAATGGGTGGTATTGACCATATTAGTGAGTGGAGTGCCTTCATGTCAATCTCTCAAGGGGTTTACTTCCTAGTGCCATCATTCGTAAGAATTGAATAAAAGCGGCGATTATGTCGATTGCCAATGCCGCTATTGGACAAAGCATATCCGGTAAGTATCTGATATCTCACAATTCTTCCCATCCGTTGTCATTATCACCGCCAGTGGGTACATTCCTACTGCCGCGGAGCGTTCTGAAATCAGACACTGCGGCCCGTACACGGCTCACTGAGCCGCCAGTACAGCCGACTACCATCTACATTATACAACACCGACCGGCACACGAAAACGTACAGCCCAGCTGACTAGAACACGGCCATCAGTCGCCGACTGTAGGCATGCCGCCGCCGCCGCCCGTCTAATGTGGCGTCTACGGCGGGCTGCCTCTCAGAAACGACTCTGAGTTCAAACCGAGGTCAACTTGCACGATTCGCATCGTGTTTGACGCCCCTGCCTCACTTGTGACTTGTGAGAGTCCAAAATCGGTAGCCATTTAAAAATCCTCCGGTAAAAGTCCTCCGCATTTGATCGTGTCTCAACTCCCAGGTGATTTCATTGTCAAATGTCCCGTCTCGTGCGGATCGCGATCACGCTACGGCCGTCATCAGCTGGCACTGCTCGTCGGTGACGTCACGGCCACGTGACCCGGTGTGCGCGGGCTCCTCCTCCTCCTCCTCCTCCTCCCCTTCCGACTCCTGCAGCAGCAGCTGGGAGTAGGTCAGACAGACCGACTCGTCTATTGGTGGAGACAGCGGCCCGCCGGACGGCGCTGATTGGTGCGCCGCGCGCGGCGAGGCCGCTGATTGGCCGCCGGCGCGGTCGGTGGGCGAGGCCGCGGGTCGCGGGGCGGGCTTGTCGCTCGGCGCCAGATATGAACTCTCGAGGAGGTGCATGTTGCCGTAATCCACCGAGCCGTCCGTGTCGTCTGAGAACGAAACAAAATTTATCAAAAAATGTCGCTCTCAAGTCTCATCGCACTCACATCTTTCCATAAATCCCTTACACAGTATACGTCAATTGTTCTCTCCTTCCCCACTATTCTCGTTTATTTCTCATCCTTCCCTTTCCACCGTAACTGACGTCTCGTGTCTTCCCTTTCCTTTTATTCCTTCTCTCTCAATAGTTAGGTACACAGTTTAGGCTTCCTTTTACTCATCATCCAACTTCTCGTTACGGGTGGTTCTTCCCCCTCGTCACATATTCCATTTTCTCACATCCCCAGTATAGGTCAAAGTACCCACCTCCCTTAACAGGTCAAAATAGGTACTCACCTCCCTCTCCGAGCATGTCAAAGTACTCCGTTTGACTCAGTACTCACCTCCTTCTCCGAGCAGGTCAAAGTACACCCCGTTTGACTCAGTACTCACCTCCCTCTCCGAGCAGGTCAAAGTACTCCCTATTGATGACCACGGGCGTGCTGAGGTCGAGGTACTCGGAGCCCGACTGGAGCATCTTGTCGAACCACATTGTGAGCTCGGAGAATGTCGGTCTCGAGGAGGGCAGCTCCTCCCAGCACTGGCGCATGATGCTGTACCTGGAGACACGGAGTGTGGGCGGCGGGTCAGGGCCTGGTGGGACCAGCGGGACGGGTCTCAGTACCTGGAGGTACACCTGGAGGTGTACCTGGAGACACGGAGTGTGGGCGGCGGGTCAGGGTCTGGTGGGACCAGAGGGACAGCACGGCTCATAAGTCTCTTCACAAAGATAGATTATTTTACAAAGTTTTGCTAGAGTCGGACTTGCATTCCGTTAGATATCACATAAAACAAGTGTTTTCTGGGGGGGGGGGGGGGGGCAGCTATAGAGTGGGCCGTGGGGAACTGTATGGCTACACTATTCTACCGTTACGAAGGCCGAACATGCTGCGCCGCATTTTCATACATCCATCACTACTACCTACTATCCTGCCGTGGGCATAACGTTATTGAGAGCCGCCCCGCCAGTGCCGACCCCGTGCGTTCCTCACATGTCCTGTGTACAGCTGGGCGGTCGGTCCATCCTGTATCCGGACTTCAGCAGGTGGCAGAGCCGCTCCGGCGTCACGCCGGGGTACGGGGTGGCTCCTAAAGGCACAGAAGGGACATTTATAATCACACCGGGGTACGGGGTGGCTCCTGCAGACAGAGAGGGAGGGACACTTATACTCACACCAGGGGTACGGGGTGGCTCCTAGAGGCAGAGAGGGAGGGACACTTATACTCACACCGGGGTACGGGGTGGCTCCTAAAGGCACAGAGGGACATTTATAGTCACCACACCAGGGTACGGGGTGGCTCCTAAAGGCCGGGAATACATCAGTACTCAGTAGTCAGTACACATTACATAGTGTGAACGCTCAAAGGCCTAACAGCATCGCAACTTAGGCTCAGTATTCGCAGCGGAGAGCAAATTTTGAGCATATGTAGGATGAAAAGAATAATTCGTCGTGCCGCCAGTCGTTCATCAGTTGAACATTGTATGCGGTGTCACAAACCATAATCACAAATCACAATGTGACAAACTTCGGAATGTCACCGTAAGAATGATGAGAACAAAGCTTTATTGCGACAAAATAACTCGCACTGTATTGCGTCGTTTGCTCAGGAAGCGTAAGTACGCAATAACAATTCATCAAATCTGATCCAGGAAAATAGAGCATTGAAATCGTGCGGACCGAACAGACTCGTGTGGTTGAGACCAAATAGGACGTACCATTTCTAATTCGCAGGAGTTTTCATAACACGAAAAGTAAAGAAATAAAAACACAGATTCGTTCAATGTCAAAGTCAACTCTATATCTCCAATTTAATGTATGTTATTGGCGATATTGGACGCAAAGCAATAGCTTGATCCGTATCGGAAACACACAAAGAGCTGCAGCAATTGCATTTCGAGGTAGGTATGTAGGTATGTAGGTATGTAGTTAAATGTTTTCAGCGGCTGATCGAAAAACTTCATCCAACACACATACTTCCTCTCTCCCTCTCTCTCCCCTCTTTCCTTCCTTCTCACCGAGTGTGACCAGCTCCCAGAGGAGGACTCCGAAACTCCAGACGTCCGATTTGGAGGTGTAGATGTGCTCCTCCAGAGACTCAATTGCCATCCACTTCACGGGCACTGCCGGAGGCGCACACCAGAGGTCACCGGTCACCGGTCACTGATCAGTGGTCAGACATCGGTCGAGCGGATCACGGACACCGGTCAGCTGTCAGCTGCTAGTGGTTCGTATAGTCATTGTTCAGAGGCCAGCTGCACTGGTCGCTGCTCAATAAGTCACTGACGGTCGGTGGTCCGGGTGGTCAGGGGTCACTGGTCAGGGGTCAGCGATGGTCAGAGGTCAGATGTCAGAGGCTAGCGATGGTCAGTGGTCAGAGATCAGTGGTCGGCAGTTAGTACTCAGCGGTCAGCGGTCAGTGGTCGGTGGTCAGTGGTCAGCGTTCGGTGGTCGGTAGTCAGTGGTCACTGGTCAGTAGTTAGTGGTCAGTGGTCAGTGGCCATTGACGGTCAGAGGTCAGTGGTCGGTGCTCAGTGGTGGTCAGTGGTCAGTTCAGTGGTCAGTGGTCAGTGGTCAGTGTCAGTGTTCCGTGGTCAGTGTCAGTGTTCCGTGGTCAGTGGTCAGTGGTCAGTGGTCAGTGGTCAGTGGTCAGTGGTCAGTGGTCAGTGGTCAGTGGTCAGTGGTCAGTGGTCAGTGGTCAGTGGTCAGTGGTCAGTGGTTAGTGGTCAGTGGTCAGTGGTCAGTGTCAGTGGTCAGTGGTCAGTGGTCAGTGTCAGTGGTCAGTGGTCAGTGGTCAGTGTTCAGTGTTCAGTGTTCAGTGTTCAGTGTTCAGTGGTCAGTGGTCAGTGGCCAGTGGCCAGTGGTCAGTGGTCAGTGATCAGTGGTCAGTGGTCAGTGGTCAGTGGTCGGGAGCCAGTGAGCCAGTGAGCAGTTGAAGCAGACATAAAACATTGCTGATAAGAAATTGTTTAGATATCGTTTCGCTCCATACATTCTCCTTCTTATAAAGCTTATTTCCTATTCAACATCGTCTCTTTTCGTGTCATCATTTCTACCGCGAAAACCTATACATTGGAACGAAAGCCAACCACACATATAGCAACATTCTCAATTGGTTATTGACCTTTACAGAAGCCCCGAAAGATACTTCTGCGGCCACCCACAACCTCAGCCTGTGCCCCTCTGCTCCTCTCTACCGGAGGCGATCAGACTGGGTCAGAGTCTGAGAGACCCTCAGAGTCGCTCTGCCCCCTCTCCCTCCCTCTGCCGGAGCAGGTCAGACCGGTCGAGGAGGGTCCGAGACCTTCAGAGTCGCTCTGTCTCCTCCCTCCCTCTGCCGGAGCAGGTCAGACCGGTCGAGGAGGGTCCGAGACCTTCAGCGCCGCTCTGTCTCCTCCCTCCCTCTGCCGGAGGAGGTCAGAGACCGGTCGAGGAGGGTCCGAGGCCTTCAGAGTCGCTCTGCCTCCTCCCTCCCTCTGCCGGAGGTCAGACCGGTCGAGGAGGGTCCGAGACCTTCAGAGTCGCTCTGCCTCCTCCCTCCCTCTGCCGGAGGAGGTCAAACTGGTCGAGGAGGGTCCGAGACCTTCAGAGTCGCTCTGCCTCCTCCCTCCCTCTACCGGAGCAGGTCAGACCGGTCGAGGAGGGTCCGAGGCCTTCAGAGTCGCTCTGTCTCCTCCCTCCCTCTGCCGGAGGAGGTCAGACCGGTCGAGGAGGGTCCGAGACCTTCAGAGTCGCTCTGTCTCCTCCCTCCCTCTGCCGGAGCAGGTCAGACCGGTCGAGGAGGGTCCGAGACCTTCAGAGTCGCTCTGCCTCCTCCCTCCCTCTGCCGGAGGTCAGACCGGTCGAGGAGGGTCCGAGACCTTCAGAGTCGCTCTGCCTCCTCCCTCCCTCTGCCGGAGGAGGTCAAACTGGTCGAGGAGGGTCCGAGACCTTCAGAGTCGCTCTGCCTCCTCCCTCCCTCTACCGGAGCAGGTCAGACCGGTCGAGGAGGGTCCGAGGCCTTCAGAGTCGCTCTGCCTCCTCCCTCCCTCCCTCTGCCAGAGGTCAGAGACCGGTCGAGGAGGGTCCGAGACCTTCAGCGCGCTCCCGGGAGAGCTCGCAGCCGATGAGCCGTATTAACGTTTCATGAGGTGACCGTCGGCGGCAGAGGCCGGCAGCCGGGCCGGGCCGGATCAGACTGATACAGAGGGACGGGGAAGGGTGAGCGGGGGCTGGTGTGGGACGGCGGTGGGGGCGGTGGGGGTGGTGGGAACTGGTGAAGATGTGAGACAGAGGACGGACAGGGCAGTGGGGCTGGTGTGGGTGTGGGACGGCGGTGGGGGTGGTGGGAGCTGGTGGAGATGTGGGACAGAGGGCGGTGGGTGTGGGACGGCGATGGGGGCCGGTGGGGACTGGTGCAGGTGTAGGACAGAGGACGGACGGGACGCGGCGGTGGGATGTGGGTGGGTGGGGTGTAATGCTGTGGTACGGTGGAGGTGAGTGTGGGACAGTGTGGTGGGAATGACGTCGGGGTGGGAGTGGGACGGCGGGGAGGGGTGTCACGGTGCGACACTGAACACTGGACAGCGCTGGGACGACGGACGGGTCAGCGGCGGTGGTGGCCTCTGTCACCAGCGACTGGTGCAGCGCAGATGGCTGACGCTGGCCACCGCACCAGTCCGCTAATTGGCAGAGTGTCCACCCACCCCCACATTCTCACCCCTCCCCTCCCTCTTACCGCCGTTAGGCGGCACGGGCGGACATCGATAGCAGCGCCTCTATCGGTCACTAGGGAAAGCTGGGCTGTAGGCGACGATATACCGGCTGAGTTGTCACACGTTGAATAGGTTTATAGCCATCCGTCTCGTGAAAAAGTTGAACTTTTGCCTTTAATATTTCTACAGGCAATTTTAGAAGTGGCTTCACATGGATTACAAAACCGTTTAGATTATTGTATTCACTTCAAGCCTTCCCTATTGTTCTTGATGATGCGGGAACAATTTCTAATTAGTGTTTCTAGCTTAATAAAAGAACATATTGTGCAAACGATGAAAAAAGCATAAATGGAAGATTTTAAATGCAATTTTCTCTAACAATTAATGGTAAATTATCTACATATCAAGGAAAAGGTGCATGCTATTTGATAATTTAAAGTTCTTGGGGCCAGTTGTTTTCTTTTTTACTTCCGTCGCCCCAATGGCCGCGAATACACTTGTGATAACGCCTACCGGCAGCACACGTAAGAACCACCTCAGAGTGAGGGCGGGAGTCTGAGCACCAGCTCAGAGGCGTAGACGGGAGCAGCCCTCCAATGACAGGCAGGTGGAGCTAATCCAGTTCATTAAAACGAATTAGTCCTATAAATACGTCATCCATACTTTTGAGCCTTGAGGATATGACGAGTGGATATCTCGCTAATAGAAACCGATCAAACAATAAATAAGCAATAAATACGCCACTTGCAACATAGCTCAACTTCTCAACTCACGTCAAGAAAAACGCGCTCAAAAGCTAGCCTCAACCATAGGCTTCTCTAAACTCAACGGATTGTTCAAGGACAGGTAATCGATTTTGAGGAAGAGCTTTATTAACTTTCAACTAAAACGGAAACTTCCCGAATTACTTACTCTCAGGAACTTTCTAATGCATCGAAGAATGACAAAAATAACAAATCTCGAGCCGGAACAAAACTCCATTGACCTCCCACCTTAACTACATCAAACGGAAGGCTGAGTTTCAAACTCGGCATAATGTGATTACAGCAGGCGACTTTTCAGCCATCATCTGATTGTGCCGTGCCCCGGCGGACCTCAGCGCCAGACGGGCTGGGTTTGACGGCGGCACCTAGCAGCAGCGACCTGCCGTGAGTACACCTAGCTCCGGGCCCGGTCAAAGTTACAGCCCCTCACAGGGCGACCTGCCGCCGCGAGGAGACGCCCACCTCTGGGCACAGGTCAAAGTTAGCGGTGCCAGGCCGCGCGCTGAGCGCAGTTCGGCTCATCGAGAGCTGAGATTGGAAACATACGGCTGTTCAGCCAACGACAATTGGTGTCCCACAAGTGGAACTTTTGGTTATTTGTTTCATTTCTTCCTTATTCACTCTCATGGTTGTTTAGTGTTCCCACTTTACATTTCCACACCGTTTCTCCCTGTTTCTGTCTTCCCCTCTGGCCCCAGTCCTGCCGTTCGCGTTTACCGCCCTTTCTCTTCCTTGGTTATCCATGATTTACATCTGTATGAACCCTTTCTCGACTTTTCTCTCTGTTCCTATCCATCCCTTCCTTCTATCGACCTTCCAGTCTGTCAATCTCTCCCCTTCCCTCCGTCCTCCCTCCCGACTCACCGCGCCCCTTGCTGGTTTTCTGGTAGAGGCTGCCCTCGTACACGTCCCGCGTAAGGCCAAAGTCGGAGATTTTGCACACTCCGCCGGCCGCCAGCAACACGTTACGGGCCGCCAGGTCACGGTGGACCATCTGAGGACAGCGGCGGCTAGCGTGAGCACGGTGCACAGAACACCGACAGCGTGAACAGGGTGCACGGAACAGAAACACCGGGTCACGGCGACGGTCGTCAAGTTAGATGTAAGTGAATCCTAATCTATAATCTAAGATTCGGAATCAGGTGAGCCCCTACGATTTGGACCAAACTTGGTCAGTGGATAGTACGTAACGTCCTGATTACGATGCAACCAAAATCTAAGCTCGGCCCGCCATATTTACGAAGTTACGGATGTTTGAATTTCAAGGTCATTCGGGAGAGCCCCTACTATTTCCGTCAAAATTTGTGTACGGACACTTTAGATGCTCCTCATTACGAATATCACAAAATTTAAGCTCGGCCCACCATATTTACGAAGTTACGGAGGTTTGAATTTCAAGGTCATTTGGGTGAGCCCCTGCGATTTCCGTCAAAATTGGTATACGGACATATTACATCCTCCTCATTACAAATATCATAAAAGTTAAGCTCGTCCCGCCATATTTTTCAAGTTACGGAGTCACAAAGTTACGGAATTTCAAGGTCATTCGGAGAGCCCCTCCGATTTTCGTCAAAATTTGTATGCGGACACATTACATGCTCCTCATTACGAATATCGTAAAAGCTAAGCTCGGCCCGCACTATTTCAAAAGTTAGAGATGTTTGAATTTCAGTGAGTTTCAAACGTCAGTAACTTTTGAAATAGTGCGGGCCGAGCTTAGCTTTTACGATATTCGTAATGAGGAGCATGTTAAGTGTCCGCATACAAATTTTGACGAAAATCGGAGGGTCTCTCCGAATGACCTTGAAATTCCGTAACTTTGTGACTCCGTAACTTGAAAAATATGGCGGGCCGAGCTTAACGTTTATGATATTTGTAATGAGGAGGATGTAATATGTCCGTATACCAATTTTGACGGAAATCGCAGGGGCTCACCCAAATGACCTTGAAATTCAAACTTCCGTAACTTCGTAAATATGGCGGGCCGAGCTTAAATTTTGTGATATTCGTAATGAGAAGCATCTAGAGTGTCCGTACACAAATTTTGACGGAAATCGTAGGGGCTCTCCCGAATGACCTTGAAATTCAAACATCCGTAACTTCGTAAATATGGCGGGCCGAGCTTAGATTTTGGTTGCATCGTTATCAGGACGTTACGTACTATCCACTGACCAAGTTTGGTCCAAATCGTAGGGGCTCACCATGATTCCGAATCTTAGATTATAGATTAGGATTCACTTACATCTAACTTGACGACCGTGTCACGACGAACCATCTGCGGGCGACGGCTAGCGTGAACACGGCGTACAAAACACCGTAGGCGTAACGTCAATGCATTTTCATATAACGTTAAAGCAAATGGTAAATCGCTTCTGGTACACTACTTAGAACGTTCTGGCATCACACGCCAGTTCAATGATTTCATGCCAAAACATAAATAAAACACACATCTATATAATGGCACTTCAGATGGAGCCGCAACCCACTACAGCCATCAGAGTTTGCGTTAACCCGCGCGGGGCTGGGGTCTCCAGCCGAACGCGCGGGGCTGGGGGGGGGGGGTAAATTTTACCCCCCCCCCCCCCCTGTTATCTCCCGAACTAACGGTCCGATTTGGAAAATTCAAACGCCAATCGAAAGTTCTCATCACGAACTACTAAAAACATGTCTTAATTTAAAGTTTGAGGTCAAGGTCAAGGTCAGGTCAAGGGTACAAATCAAATTTCTACAGTATCGGCCTTGCACCGTAGTTGCCGAAGAATGGAGTCATGGACTGAGACTGATCGCCCAAAACGTGTTCTTAGGCTACCAAGACAATATTCGTTGCATACAATATCATTCAGAGGTCAAGGTCAAGGTCAGGTCAGCTCAGGTCAGGTCACCAAAAAACAAAATATAGAAAAGGGCATGTGCGACACATGTTTTATGGGTCATTTTCCCATAGAATTCAATAGGCACACTCAATAAGTGATATGGACCACCTCTGGATGAATTTCAGGTCGAGGTCAGGTCAAGGTCAGGTCAAGTGAGGTCAAATTTTGAAGTTGGTTGTTAAGGCCTAAAAAGGTGTCTATCTGATGCAGTTTTTCACGGCGAATCGAATGGTGCTATTTTTGTTTCCGTACGAGGTCTAGAACTTCCAAAAAAGTCATTTTTCAAAAAAAATTGTGTGTCGTTACGTCATAAAATTTTGAATAACTCCCACATTTTTGAACCGGTTCTTCTAAAATTTGGCATGTAGGTGCACATAGACCACTTCTCTGACATATATTCCGTTTTTTTTTGATAGACTCAACATTTTGGATTTTATAATGATTTTCCCAAAAAATTCAGTTTTTTGAAAAAAATTAGGCCAAAATCCAAAATTTTCAAAAAACCGAGATAGCCATTTGATAGACAAAGTAAAATTACGTAAAACCTTTTTTAGTACGTCTTGATTCCTTTAAAAATGAAGATGTTAGCGGCGTTTGAACTTTTGCCGTTTTTGAGGCGAAAATGACGAACATGACGTCACTAAAACGTCAATTTCTCAAAAATTTTCCGACGGATTTCGCTCAAATTTTCAGGGAACGTGTCAAATTGGTGTAAGAAAAGGTACTGAAAGTTTGGCGGCGCTGCGCGCCGCCGTTTTTGAGATATCGCAAAAATTCGCGAGGGGGGTAAAATTTACCCCCCCAGCCCCGCGCGGGTTAACACGTTTAAAAAGTACTTTGACTGAGCTGACAGTTGGTTTCAAATACGATGTACCTACTGTGCGTCCCTAAGTATTTTGCGAGATGTGTTTTTCGCTCTTGGAGCTGAGATGAGCTCTGCTTCTTGAAACACTTGACAGGTGAAGCCCAGTCTACCAAACAAACAGGCTTTATTGCTCCTTCAAAGCAGACACTTCGTAAGCAGGTAAGGTTATGCGGAGCGTGCAAGACCCCAGCGAGTGACAGCTCAGGTAAACTAATAAACCCGGTGGAGAGGAACTCCAGTCGTTAGCTCCTGGTGCGCACACGGACGGCCAATTACAAAGTCAGAGCGGTCATCTAACTTCTGCCGGCCGAGAAATGGCCGATCGTTCGGCCACCTCCGTCCGGCCCATGCACGTGTCATCGGTAGTGCCGGCGAAGTTGGGCTATAAGGCGCACCGTGGCTGTGACGTGTGCCGTGGTGGCGGTGTATAGAGTGAAGTAAAGGTGTGGTATGTGCGACTGTGGCGGTAGCACAGTGAAACTGTGCTCTGAAGCCGTGCCTTGTGCAGCGCTGGTACAATACAGCACAGGTGCTGTATTGGTATTGGTATTGTATTGGCGGTGCTGCGCCTATGGCGGGTGGTATGACATTGACTGTTGACTGATTGTCCTGTGCAGCGTTGACTGATGCCCGAAACGACGCAGCTGACATGCATACGGATGGTCACTTGAGCTCAGACGCAAAAGCCGCATGATTGCGTGGGAAAAGCAGATAGGATGAATGCATTGTACAATGTACTGATTGAAGCAGTTGACTGCGCTCGTTTGTACCCCTATTCCCTAAGGTACCGTTGCCAGTTGGATGGTGCCATAGACAAACAAAATCATATAGTACCTAAACAAACATGGATCCAAGGGCGTCGACTTCATTTTTTTGACAAGGCAAGGTGCATAATTCAAACGGCGATTGCACGTTATTTATTCGAGTTTGGATTACTTTTTTAAATAATACAAAACATTTCATTTGGTGAGCATCAATCGAAAGTTTACTCAGCGAGAAGGGAAAAAAACGGTAACCACTTTGACATTTTCCTTTCCCATTCGCCGCAGAGCAGACGATTGACCCGCCGATCGACTGACCTTCATCTCGACGAGGTAGGACATGCCGCGGGCGATCTGCCACGCGTAGCCAATCAGCTCCTTGGTGGTGATAGGGCTCCTCTTTTCCGCCGCCTTCTGATCGGGCTGACCCCCTCCTGGTCCGTCCGTGTTGAGCTGCTCTTTTCCCGCCGAGTCCGCCTCGGGCGCAGACTTCCTGGGAGATTTTTCTGTAGATTTTTCCACATTTGTCTCTTTCTCGGATATATTTTCTGAGCATTGCTTGTCCAGACATTTTTGGTCGGCGTTCAGGAAGCTCAGAGACACCTTGCGGCTTTTGTACAGGTAAGTCCTGCGGAGATACGGAAACCGGCTGGTAGAAAGCGAATAGTGTTGCAAGTGAAAACGAAAGCATTTTGCGATTAGTTCCGACACTTGCCATATTGTTTGACCTAGCCATGGTTTGGAGTTTGGACATCGAACAAGACTACGGCTTCTCAAAGTTGTCGCGATTGCTTGTCCTTGCCTATGTATAACCTGCCGTAGATTTCTACCCCAGCCGTGATTCGAACTAACCACATATTGCTGGCTGCACCCCTAGTAGACAGGGTAGCCTAAAATTTGGGCCCGCCGGGATTCGATCCCGCGCCCGTCGCTCACCGCAGGCAGCCGAGCTCGGCGTACTCGATGATGACACAGAGCGGCCCGCCGGGCCCCGTGCAGGCCCCCAGCAGGCGGATCACGTTCGGGTGGTCCACCTCCTTGAGCAGGCTGTACTCGGAGAGCAGGTCCTGCAGCTCAGACGCCGTGCTGGCCGGCTTCAGCATCTTGACCGCCACAGAGGTGTAGCCTGAGGTCAGGTCAGCGGGTCAGGTCAGCATCTTGACCGCCACAGAGGTGTAGCCTGAGGTCAGGTCAGCGGGTCAGGTCAGCATCTTGACCGCCACAGAGGTGTAGCCTGAGGTCAGGTCAGCGGGTCAGAGGTGTAACCTGAGGTCAGGTCAGCGGGTCAGAGGTGTAACCTGAGGTCAGGTCAGCGGGTCAGGTCAGCATGTTGACCGCCGCAGAGGTAGGTATAGCCTGAGGTCAGGTCAGCGGGTCAGAGGTGTAGCCTGAGGTCAGGTCAGCGGGTCAGAGGTGTAGCCTGAGGTCAAGTCAGCGGGTCAGGTCAGCATCTTCACCGCCAAACAGGTGTAGCCTGAGGCTAGGTCAGCGGGTCAGGTCAGCGGGTCAGTCGGTCAGGTCAGCATCTTCACCGCCAAAGAGGTGTAACCTGTCAGAGAGGGGCAGCCTCAGGTCAGCTGGTCAGGTGAGCAGGCCAGCAGAGAAGTGGGTGTAACCTGAGATCAACGGGTCTGGTCAGCGTCTTCATCGCCATGGAAGACCGGAGGTGCAACCTGAAGTGTGCGGGTCAGCGGCAACAAGCTCAGTTTAACCGGTAAAAACATTACAAAATATTTCTTTGGATTTCTGACAGTTGGTAACGCCTTAATGAAAGTTCTTCCCACTGTGCAGTGTGCAAACCTGACTGAGCTAGCAAACCTGGTTCTGATGTCTAAAATCGGTTCAGCATTCAGAGGGGCGCAAACGCTCTCAAGAGAAAGCTCTGTTATGCAAACACTAGCCCGCGCACCGACGGGGGTCTGCGCCAACTTAGAACCGACGGGGGGCGGATGACCGCCCCCTGAGATCTCGAGAACAAAGCAAGATAGCGACAAGCGGTAAACGGCATGGGGGTATGCACGGACAAGGTCTACAATTTTTACAAAGGTCATTTTCAGGTCAGGTCAAAGATGACGTCACAGTGGTAATAAAAGTCAAAATGGCGGCCCTAGACATGGAGTTTTTCTTGAATAACTTTCGAATTGGTCAAGCTAGGAACAAACTAAGGACACCATCGTGATCCTCTCATTGCCTTGACGAGCTGAACACAATGAGACCATCCGCGCGGCTGTATCTTGTTCCTGTCAGGAGTTATTGGCAAAAAGCCTTTGGTGACCTTTGATGACGTCACATGACCTTACAGCTGCCCAACAGCAAAACAGGTCTCAAGGTAGTGAAGGTTGATCGTATATGAAGTCATGTATGGTATTTATATGGGATCATTCTGACGCGTTTTAGTGAAAAAAAAAACAGGGAGTTGATTTTTCCCCCACTGACTTATGATGGGAAGGTCGAGAAATTGACCTCACCTTAGGTCATCGATATCAAAATTCCGAGATATATAAATTGTAGCTAGCGATGACCTCATAACATCCTCCTTTCAAAGGATTCCGTCATCTACTGTAGCTCTGACACGGTGACAATTTGCAAAAAAGTGACTTCAGGTTGGGTCATTCAAAGTGACCTGGTGGCCTGACCTTGAATTAGTTAGGAGGTTCAAACTTGCACACCATTTGTACAATTGATGATAGAATAGTCATACCAAATTTCGGGCGCTACGCGCCGCAGTTTTCCCGCTATTAGCGAAAAACCTCAGGGGGTGCGGATAACCGCCCCCCCGGTCGGTGCGCGGGCTAGGATACGGTATCATATCAGACTTTCGCCAGATTTCTAAGGAACATTTTCAGAATCTGCCGCTGCCATATCCAGTCTCCTCCTCCATATCAACATGTCGTCATATTTTCTGACATAATACTGCAGTCCACTTAGCGGGGTTTTCGTCCATTTGCCGACTATCGATAGCAGGCCGGTCGGCCGGTAAACGTATGGCCTCGATCCGTTCAGACTCAGGCGGGCCGCCGCGACGGGCGAGCGGGTGTTCTCTGAGACGCAGGGATCCGGGGAGCTATTCAAATGCATAAAGCCGGAACACTGATATTGGACGTCGGCTCAGAGGCCGCGTTGAGAGCTGAAGACTCCAAGTCGGCGGCTAAAGGGCGAGATGCAGTGGGGTCTGGCTCGTGGGATTTGGCTGACGATAGGGTGGCTCGCAATACTGTGTGTGAGAGGACTCGTACTTTGACAAAAACTGCATACAAAGCATTTACTATATTAGCAGTCAAGCTGCTATCGGCTGGCCGCATGTTACTATGGTTATCTGACATTCGTGCGTGGCGGTTCGCCGTTGTCATGGTTGCCAGTTACCTGATGCTCCGTTGATGCCGAGAGCCCTTCCCAGCACGACCTTTCCGAACTCTCCCTCTCCGAGTAGTTCGCCCAGCACTAGTCGCTGCCGCGGGAACTCCCACTTAGCGTCTACCTGAGGGGAGGAGGGGGCAGGAGAGTGACGTCACGACTAACGGAGCAGTCTGTGAGCGGAGGACCGGTCTGTGACGTCACACACAGATCTGCAGTCTGCTCACATGGAGGGTGTGGATTGACAGAGGCGACCATTCAGACACTATATAGTAGAACGACTAATCGATTTTTTCACATTTTACCAAAAACAAAGCGAGTCATACATCAGACCACTATGGTAGGTGGACGCCCATCAACTAGCATGGACGGCGACACAAGTATGGCGCTAGATCGGGGTCAGACATGATATAGCGATCTTCGGTAACCGTATATTTTATTTTCATTTCATTGAATATTTGCCTATATCTTTGCAACGAATTGGACAATGATCTTCCTTTTCTCTCTGGGGACTGGGCCTTTCCTACCTCCGTCACATCAAAGAAAGCAATTCTAACAACAGATCAGAGCTATGCGATTGAGGCGATTCGGGAGATATGGACCTACTGCTCTGGTTCACAGTCTACTTCTGCAGCTTGCTGTTCGAAACGCGAGAAACATACACATCACCATTACCACAATCGATTAACCACCAATCGATTAAATATCGAAAATGTATATGGGATAATAGTTAGCATAACAATAGTTTTAATATCACAACTACTCCAATAATCTAAAGTTCTTTTCAACTGACTGATGATTGATAGTTATGTCAAGCTTAACCCGCGCCCCAGTGGCGGTCTCGGCCAACTTCGCCCTAGTGAGGGGGGGCATATGTTACCACCCACCTCTAACTCAAAAACTAAGAGGGCCAGAAAGACGCGGTAAAAAGCAGTCGATAGCTCTCAATACGTACGTTTGAAAGTATTCGGTCATTTTTCACCTTAGAGCAATATTGGGGTCACCAGAGGTCATCAAAGGTCAAAATTTGCCAATTGTCATTATATTTTTCAGAAAACATGCCGCTATCTCAGGAACTATGGTAGCTAGAAAAACGCATGGAAAAGCAATCGATAGCTGTTAAACTCTTCTTTTGAAAAGGTCATTATCAATATTGTCCTCAGGTCAACGGTTTAGCCTTCAGAGGGCAAAAACTCCAAAAATAGCTGTTTTTACGAAAAGTGTTTTTCGACAATAACTTTCGACTACAAAAAGCCACGACATTTCTGTTTCCAGAATCGTGTTCCCCTCACCGAGACGCGTCGAATGAACTATAATTTGACCTTGAAAGGTCAACTTAAAAATTTGACCTCAGGTCAAGGTCATGACCTGACCGGAAAAGGTCATGTTGCATATCAGTCAATGCGTCTCAACAAGACAAACACAATGAGACCATCCCAGCGTTCTATCTCTTTCCAATCGCGAGTTATTGGCAAAAAACTGTTTGTAGCCTCAAATGACCTCGGATGACCTTTCTAGAGGCTATCAGCAAAAATGACACCTTGGTCATCACGAGTGGACTAAATCATTGTGATTCTGAAATATTTGGACTGTTCCTATGCGTACACACGGATCTAGAGGCATTTTCATTTTTCTCCATTGACTTGTAATGGAAAGGTCATGCCACTGACCTGACCTTAGGTCACGGATATAAAAAATCCGAGATATACAAATTGTAGGCTCCCATAACAGCATGCAATCCACCAAGTTTAAAACCTTTCTGACAAACACTGCAGGCTGGACATGATTGCAAACGTTTTTTAAGGCTTGGTCAGTTAACTTGACCTGGTGACCTGACCTGACATGACCTGGGGTCAAAAATTTCACACATTGTCTAAAATTGATGTACCAAAAGCTACCTCAAGCGGCGCGGCGCTACGCGCCGCGGTTTTTTATTCACACGCGAAAAACGCGACAGGGTGGTAACATATGCCCCCCCCACTGGGGCGAAGGTTAAAAATAATACGAGCTCCAGTGGCTTTAACCCATTTATGCCCAGGAACATTGACCATCATGAAAATCGACGAAATCAAAATATGTTATGCTCCTACCAGGGCCTTGCATGGAATCGAAAATAATTTTTGCCTGCAGCAAAAGTTTTTCGAGAAAAACGTAAAAAACATGCGTTGCGAAATCGCAACGAAGGGCACACCGGGCGCCATCAGCGTTGCGAAAACGCAACGACGGGCACACCAGACGGACATAAAGTATACACTAAACTGCCGTATATGCTAATATGTTTTGACATCAATCAACTGTTGACAACTATTGCTTGAAAATGCGGAACCCACATCCGTCATGCTCTATAACCCGCCTAAGAGCCTCAGTGAGGAAGCACAACTTCATGATTCGCGAACGGGGAGATGGCAACACGGTCATTATCAACCATTTACGTTGTCCATTGCTGTTCATTTAAAGTTGTGGTCGACACGTATCCAGGGTGATGTTTTCTTTTTGGAAGCTAGACAGAGCCATTACCCCCACCTATCAGACCCCACGCTAGTACAATTAAACGGAGGATTGGGAGTAAACCAGTGCCTCACGTATGCGCGTATATCCGCAATCATTGTTAACCACCCTCCTAGGAGTAAAGTTAAATTCCATTGCAGGTTAGTCGTATGTAGGCCCACTCTCAGCAAAAAGAAAAAAGAACCGATCCGGCTCTAACAAATAACCCGCGTAAGGCGTAGCGCATCACAACAAATCGACTCCCAGTTTATCATGTTTACACCTAATCCAAAATTTTCATGGCCCCACTCTCAGCGACCTTCACGTGTAACCTCTTTCTCGAGACAATGCCAGGACAGAATGGTGATTCGACGTCAATCCGTCCTTTCCATCTTCAGGATAGTTGAATCCTCCTCCACGCCTCAACCCCCTGTTCCGGGCTGGACCGGCAACGTATATCGCAATCGGGCAGCTCACATAGGAGCGCGCCTGTATCTGTATCTGTATCTGTATTCATCGTAAGGTCATCCAGTATCATGCCGGTTTTTCATGCCTAGAGTCATATAAAAGGTGATAAGCGAAATATTACATAGAGGGATGATAAGTAACACGCGCATTACAAAGACAGACATACGCATGCGTTGCGCCACATGTGTCAGCACTGGACATTGTTACGGCATTGCGTCGGCCAGATAGGCGCGGAGACGCCTTTTGAATGCACCGATGCGTCTGACTGAGATTCTAGAGGGAAGACGATTGAAAACATCGGCAGTTCTGTAGAAGAAACGGCGTCTGCCGTGTTCCGTCTTGATCACTGGTAGATCCAGATGGTCGTCCTGCCGTGTTTGGGTTTGCCGGATGTTGTGCCTCCGTACTAACTTCTGCGCCAGTGAATGCGGCTCCGAGTTGGCCAGTAAACGTCTCATCAGGCATAGCGCGTGGTAGGTGTGCAGCTGTGACGCTGAGAGCCATTTAAGGTCTCGTATGACGTCGCTGATGTGATCCCTTCTCCTCCGGCCAGATATCACGCGCGCGCCGAAGTTGATGACTCGCTGAAGTCGTGTCAGGTTACGTTTGGTACAGCTTCCGTAAATCGACAGACAGTATCGAATGATAGTGAGTGTAGCCGGGTGCAGTGAGTGCTTGGGAGGGGGGAAGGGGGTGGGTCATGGGTGGCCTGCCCACTGGCTGGGCTCAGTCTCCAGTCTACGATTAACCGTGTCCGGTCAGACAAATGCCTCCCCTAATTCCAATAATCCTGCTAGCTCTAAAAATGGTCTGATTAGATAAAAAGCCTATCAAAGTAAGAAAACAAGCGTATACTCTACATTAAGCAGCTTATGAATCTATGCGAGTTATGAATCCTAAAAATCATTATTTTCCCAGGTCCGCCCTCATTACCCCTGCCGAAGGGCTCAGCTACCCCCAGAGGGGGCCTATCCCACTATTTGCCGACCCTCAGTTATCTTTTCTAACGTAAATGTTGGTAGTCAGCAGATTCTATTCAGAGAATGGCGATGCCTATCGGTCGCCTGATACCAGAATACATCCCCCTTATTCATTATATATGCACAATGTACATAGTAGATCCAATTTCCAAAGGACCTAATTATCTCTCAGCTCCGTTAGCATCGCCGACCGTTTGATGCATGGGTCCTTTTCCTACCATGCGATTTTCAGATGCATGGGGACACATTGCTTAGTGAACGAACAGCCCGAGGCCGAAATCTGCGAGAGAATAAGAAAGGAGTGTTTGTGGCTGTTTGAGCCAGCAAATATGAAATGTGTCGCAACATTTTACGTGCGAACGCACCTTGCAATAAACATACCTATACACGTCCCTCGACCCTCATGGCATAGGCTGCGAAGCGCGGGGGGAGGGGGCACCGGGGCACCGTGCCCCCTTGATTTTGCCATTTTAACATTATCCCTATACGCGTTGCATGGAAATGGAAATGGAAAGAATGGGACCAAAAGTCGGCAGTGCCCCCCCCCCCCGCCCTTAATTGAAGATGTTCCGCCGCTACAGCCTCATGGCTACAAAATGAGAGAGAGAAAGAAAGAAAGAGAGAGAGAGAGAGAGAGAGAGAGAGGGAGGGAGAGAGTTGGGGAACGAGGAGGAGAGGGAGGAAGATGGGGGAGAGAAAGAGAGAACCCACAGCGTATCACGAGTGAAGTCTATTGTTGATACCTATTCATACTTCCGCTACCCTGCAAATGTGCCCATCGTTGCGTTTTCGCAACACCGCTGTCTTTCCGATGTGCCCTTCGTTGCGTTCCCGCAACGCGACCGTAGTCATATTTGAAAATAGTCACAAACCCTTTTTGTAGCATTATTTCTTAACAAAATGCATATCTACGCTATTGTAAGGACTCTGCAGAATATGTTTACACAATTTTCATTACGATATTATTAAGCACTTAGCCTACTTATCTTGGTTTTCGTGACGTCATCACTCACAAAACCTTCGACTTCCCTCTGGGAGCTCTAGGCAGTAACTTACCGGCCGCACAGACTTGTAACTGCGTAGCATCATGCGCGCAACCATGCTACACACGCTGAAACATTGTCTCATCGGTTAGTCTCTTTTACACACTTCTCAAGCTTCGATCACGTCGACGCTTGCTTGCGTTGCG